GAATGTATGCAATGTATAAATTCCTTTCTTTTAACTCCAAAGGATTCTCAGATCTACCTTAAGTTTATTCAAGAGCCCCTAATTAAAAGAGTGGTCTGTTTTTATATCACATTCCCATGAGTTAAAGGAAGGTGGTAAGACACAAAAGAACATTGGAGGGATATTTAATCTATTTCACCTAAAAAACTGAGTAAGTTTTGTGGAACAGTGTCCAATTAAAAAGGTATATATCGAGAGCTGATTCCAGGTCTACCTCTGGGCAAATTTAGGAGAAATGTTGTTTGGTCTGATGTCAAATATAACCCTATAAGTTATGTCTTAATTACAAAGGCAAAAATATACCCTTTAACCGTAGAAAAAACTGCCTGTCAGCACTTTCATCAAATGATTGAATTTATCATCACTAGTAATGGGACCCACCTGACATTAAACACCTCCTGATGTGAGATAATATAAATTGCACAGTATGACCTAAGAAGTACCCTTGCCAAATATGTTTAATCTCAACTACTCAAGTATCTAGTAACTTGCAGTTTATAGGAAACACAAGGTCTAGGAGCAGAAATAAATACAATTTAATAACTCAGAATTAGGGCATTCTTCAGGACAACTGGCTTGGTTTCTTTTAAAAAAACAATCAAAATTATCCAGGGTGGACAGTAAAAATTAAAAGTTTTAGGTTAAAAGATACCAAAGGTAGTTAAAAGCCAACTGCAATAGGCATCATTGATAGGTTCGTAGTTCAAAAACAAACTACTGTAAATCAAATCTTTACTTAAAGTCATCGATAGATTCTGCAACTTTATTGAAGTATAACAAAACTAATTTTACCATAGGCTAATTGTTATAAACAAGAGTTAAATTCCTACGACATCTCTTCATCATCAACATTATACAAAAAGCAGTGGTGCCTGGCTGGCATAGCTCAGTGGTTGAGCATCGACCTATGAAACTGGAGGTCATGGTTTAATTCCTGGTCAGGGCACATGCCCCGGTTGCAGGCTCAATCCCCAGCATGCAGGAGGCGGCTGATCAATGACTCCCACCATTGATGTTTCTATCTCTCTCTCCCTCCCCCTTCCTCTCTCTGAAATCAATAAAAACGTATTTAAAAAAAAAAAGCTGTGGTACATTTGTTCTGGCCACCATGGCCAGAAGAACACCTAAGGAACTAACAGTAAAGGTAGAAAAGGATCCCTATTGTACAGGACAAGGCCTGACAAGCTAGCCCAAGAATTACAGCTCCCCCTGAAGTCCTGTAGAAAAACAAAGCAAACCAGTCACACTCCGGTCAAGCATAACCCCATTACTCATTGTAAGACATTGTGTTTAAATCATCCCTTTTATGTTACTAAGGGTCCCCTCCCTTGTTTCATGTTACAAAAGTTGACAACCTAACAAATTATCAAATTATTAGAAGCCCCTTTACCATACTTGCCTTTGTAGTTACTGAGTATAAAATGTGGGAAGAACTGAGGGTCAGGGCTGCAGTTCGGCTCTTACATGGGTGAGATGCTGCAACTGTAGCCTCTGGCCAGCTAATAAAGGCTCCAAAATTCAAACACAAACTCTGGTGGTCGTCTGTCGCAGGTCACACCAGAACACATTTACACAGTGGAATACTACGCAGATGTAAAAAAGAAGGAACTCTTACCCTTTGTGACAGCATGGGTGGACCTGGAGATTATTATGCTACTCGAAATAAGCCAGTCAGAGAAAGACAAATACCATATGATCTCACTAATATGTGGAATCTAATGAACAAAATAAACTGATGAACAAGATAGAATCAGAGGCATGGATACATGGAACAGACAGACAAATGTCAGATGGGAAGGGGCTGGGGGAACTAGATAAAAGGTGAAGAGATTAGCCAAAGAATATATATGCATAGCCCATGGACACAGACAACAGTGTGGTGAAGGCCAGGGGAGGGGGTTGCTGGGTGGAGGTGGGTAAGGGCAGGGAAAACGGGGGACATCTGTAATCGCGTAAACAATAAAAAGAAACAGCAGTACTTAAGGGGAAAAAAAATTTAAAAGGACAACTCATTTTGGCTAAAGTTCAATTAAATTACATTAAATACATTTAATACAATTCAATTAAGCATAGTTTATCTCAGAAAAAGAACATTATAACAAAACAATATTATTCAAGGACCCCGCTATAGATACAAAAGGCACCTTGGGGACAACTGGGGAAATATATTGACTTTATATTAAGTGATATTAGAAAATAATTTTCTTAGGTGTGATAAAGGTTTTCCGGTTATGTAGAACAATATGTTCACAGGAGATGTATAGTCAAAGTATTTAGAGGTAAAGTGTCTTCATGTCTACAACATATGGTTCTGACAAAAACAAAACAAANACAAAAACCAAACAGACACATATGTGTATGTACACACAAACATATAAATAAAATATGACAAATAATTTTTAAATCTAGGTGATGGGCATATGGGTGATTCTGTACTCTTTTTTTGGTTAATCTTTTCTGTTTAGAATGTTCAGAATAAGAAACTAGTAGGGGGCCCGGCCAGGGGTGGCTCAGAGATCGAGCCTTGACCTGGGATCCAGGCAATCTGGGTTCGATTCCCAGTCAGGGCACATGCCCCAGTTGCGGGCTCGATCAATGACTCTCTCATCATTGATGTTTCTATCTCTCTCTTTCCCTCCCCTTTCCTCTCTCTGAAATAAATAAAGATATATTAAAAAAAAAAA